GTGTTATATCCAAAGGTTTGAAAACAAAATGTATCCATAGTCTAAAATTTAGAAATTGAAACTGACATTTTCCCAACCATATTTTGTCATCAAAGAGCAACATGTTCCCAACCATATTTTGTCATAAAAAAGCAACATGAGTCAACATGCAACATGTTGAACACTTAAAGAGTGACAGGCCAGTCGTCATTTAGACCCTCATATATTATAGTTAATATCATCTGATATACACCACCAAAAAAAAAAAATCAACACTAAATAAAAATAAATTCTAGCACACATGACACCGCCACTGCGTGGACCCAGCCCCATTGTGTTACAATTATTCAGGGTCGGGCCATCTATTAACTTAAATAGGCAGTAAAAAACCCATCTAGAAAAACTGTAAAACAGTAACTTCAGTCTTCATTTTTCAACATTTGTTGGATGAAAATGCAATGAGAGAATGGGCAATGTCGTAACTGACACGTGTTCCTTGCTGCTGCACATTTCCGATGATGGAAAGCGTAGACGACGTTGGAGCAAATGCAAAGCAAAACGTCCCAGTTGAATCCACCGGGATCAAGTAATTCTTAGCCGGTAAAGACAGGTCCTTCCCGTTGGAAAAATGAAACGACACCGTTGGAACCTCCACGCTCTTCCTCGAACCCAAAGCGAAACACGTGTCAAATAGAGCTACTCCGTTAGCTGACGGCAAGTTTTTCGTGCCCTTAACAAAGGCATCACGCAGAGCATTGTAAGTCTCCGTTGGAAGCCTCGTCACCGCCGTTCCGGAATCAATGATGACCCCACCCTCGCCGTTGTCGGCTAACTTAAAATTTGACGGAGGAACCGGAAGTAACTCTCCGGCCACGCTAATCCCCGTCAAGTCCAGGTAGTAAAAGGTATCGAGCTTCGGATTTTGCAGCAACGGCGCGGTGACGGCGTCAGCGGGGACAACGGAGTCAAAATCGAGAGTGGAACTGGCGTCAGAATCGCGGTCCACGAGGCAGTACGAAAACGACTTCGCTTTGATTTGGGAAGGAAAAGACAACGGGCCGCCGCCTAAGCCGATTAATCCTGCAGCGCCGACAAATAAGCCTTCGTTATTGTGGCCACAGCCGATGGCTATGTTGTTAACCGCTGCCGAGCCGCCGAAAGTAATAGTCTCCGTTACGAAATCGCCGACGGTGTAGGACCCATCTCCGTAAGACACCTGGTAGAGACACGTGTTATTCCGACATTCGGACTCGTCGAGAGATTTGCATTGTTGAGCTTCGCACGTTAGACGAGAGAAAGAAGAGGAGGAAGCCGGCTGGAAAATTGGGTCGGCTTGCTGATAACAGTCGCTGCAAGGGGCACACTGGACCCAGTTGACGTCACTCCCAGAGTCGAGTACCATGTAAACCTGGCTCGGTGGGCGGCCGATTCCGACTCGGCTGAAGTACTCCCCGCTTCCCTGACTCGTTCCGGATATTACAGGCCCGTCCATGGCTTCAACGTCCAATTGGGTCTCCATAGGCTTCAGATCCGCCTTGGAAATCCCATGTACAGCCAGATCTAGCCGGGTTTGGAGTGAGTTGACTCGGGCCGAGTCACGCCCGAGTCGAGCTAGTGTCAGTGCCTTGTAGTCGATATCTGAGGCTTTACGGAGCCCCACACGGGAATGCAGCTTCAGACTCAGTAAAGATGATGAGGAAGAAAAGCTAGTTTCTTGATTTTCAAGTGATTTTGTAGCTTGAGAATCTACGGTAAAAACGTCGAGTGTTTTCTGGAGAGACGAAGTGACATCAAGAACATTAGTTGCTGAGCTTGGTGGAAGTGTACGAGAGAAAATTGAAGAAATTATAAGGGAAAATGAGAAGAAGAAAAGAGCCGTTTTAGCCATATTTTCTTTCACTGGAAGGGAAGGGGAGTGACAACTGACAAACGAGAGTGAGGGACTGCATGCATATATAAAGGGCGGAGAGGAGTGGGGCGTAGGGTGGTGGGCAGAGGAACAGTAATCTTTGAATGTGAAGAATTTGATGATGCTTTATTAAGATGTTAAATACTTTGACCGGTACTAGATTATGCTGAGACTCATTTGCTTTGCATGATTTAATTATCTTAATCCATCAAAAAAGATGGTCCCAGGGCATAATTGTTTTTCAATATTTTTTATGCTAGATCTCGGTGCAGTACTAGTGCATGAAGTATACAATGCATTACGAATTGCTGTTGGCACGTTTCATCTCATTTTTTAATTTTTTTAGGCAATATTGAAAGCCTTGGGATTTTTCATTAATTGCACTAGCTAAGATTCAAGAAATAACATACGTTAGTTTTAACTTTTAGTTATGTCAAAATTCACCCCTCTTCCTTGTTTGTGTGTCCGCCGGTTCACTTTATTTTAGTACCAGCGGTACACTTTGATTGGAAGAACCGAAATTCATAAGCTTTGCCGTATCATGTGATCAAGAGATCAAAAGAGGATTAAGAATAAAGTAAATGAGTTGCATGATTCAATGTACTTTTAATGGCTTTTTAGCTGAAATTATGGGCTCGGTGTCTTAGGAGTTGGGAATGAAGTACCCAGTTTAGCTTTGAGGAAATTAAGGCGGATTGGCAGTGGTGGGTGACTATCTATCTCTGTCTGTGGGGCCTGCGTGTAATTTTACTTTCTAGGCTGCCATAGGGGTCCGGGGTTTGAAACCCTGCCGGGGTGGGGCTTGGAGGTCAAAAAGATGGGCTTGGAATGATTTATAATCATCACGGGATGTAGGAGTTGTAGTGAGTGAAGGAATTGAATTTTTGTTGTTGAAGTGAGGTACAAGATTGATTGGCACTCAATAGAGCTTTTGATTGTCAATGATCACCGGTGAACACGATCAATTTAGTCAAAGACTCGACAAACAAAAGCTTCATTAATTTGTTACTCCCTCCTCCGTCCCACTTTGATAGTCCTATTTCTTTTTTCACACAGTTTAAGAAAAATTAGTTAACTTTGTTGGAAAAGTAAATTTAGATTGCTATTTTCCTAAAATACCCTCACATTAAATATGGTACAATTTTATGGGAACTTGAATTGATAGTAAAAAAAGAATCAACTTTTATTAAATGAGGTAGGTTTATAGTAATAACAACTTACATTGAATAAGGGTATTTTAGGAAAATTAAAATACAACTACATTTTTCAATTGGAAAGTGAACTACAATTTGGGACAGACGAAAAAGGAAAACAAGACTATCAAAGTGCGGCGGAGGGAGTAATATATTGATATGGGAATATATCAATGCATCCTTTTTCATTTTTCTTTGGGACTTGAGCCCAACAAAACGAATTCGCCCTGATCACAGTCCGGAGCATGGTGCATTCAACTTGAAAAACAACAAATTATTTTGATCATGACTAACTTTTTGAATAATTGAGTTTTTGTTATTTAACTATTAATAGTATATTTTTATTTATTAAATTATAAAAAATATAAATTTTGAATCATTTCATTTGATTCTGTCATTAATTCTATCATATCTAAGGATTCGCACGACTTGCGAGACATATTATTTATAGTTAGACTATTTGTGAGACATTTGAGCAACATATTTGCAAAGAGACAAAGTCTAATCCCTCAATCATGGTTTACGCTAAGTCAACAAATATAAACCATCCAAGAGCTGTATTTACTGTTTCTCTCTAAACAGAGAACATGTCAACAATATGATATCATGAAGTCGTGAGATGCTCTGAGCATATAATTAGAGAGTACATAATCACAGAATAGAGGAAAGAAATGGTACCCTGAGCCCTTAGTTGCAATATCATTCAGCTTTTTAAATAGTTTGGCCGTCCAATTGTCATGCTCCACTTTCCTATCCTTCTCCTTAGGAGGTGAGAAGGAACTTAACATCTATTTTAGTAGGTTGGTAACCTCAATTATTTCATTTTTCACTTCTTCTTTCATATGAACCTCATCCCGTACAAGATGATGCACCAAATTGAGAGCTATTTTCTTGTGACACAGAGTTTTCACACTCTCTTGGATGTAAAGCAAGATCTCTCTCATTTTTAATAGGAATCAAGAACATTACCCAATTTCGAGCCATGTCAAACAAGGTGAAAGCACAACAAAAATCTATAAGTCATAAGCGTACGCTTGTGTGAAAGATCACCTAATCCATCCTCTCAAACAACCTATTAAAACATCCATGACCCTCTCCCCTATTTTCATTACCATTATGCCCACCACCCTTACCACCATCCCCGTCATTATGCCCACCACATTAGTTCTCACATTACCATCGCTCCTAGCCTCACCAACACCTTCAACACTAGCCTTCCCTCCATGGATAGCCCACTATAACTCTCTTCACACCAATAGCCACACTACTACTATTATTAGAACCCCTCCATTCAGACCACCAGCCCTACTACCGTCGAAAAACCATTCACACCACTAGTGCCACCATTGACTCCACTAATTCCAGTTGAATCTCCATTCACAGCCTTGTTATAGTAGAGCCTTCCTCTACTGAAACTCGAATCACACAAAACATGATAAATATCCAAATATATATATATATATATAATTTATTTCTCTAGGGAACAACCATTTTCCTGATGTACAAAACCAGTAGTTAACAACTAGGAGGAATAACCGCGGCGTTGCGCGGTGGAGTAACCAGCATGCATGCCCATTTAGACGGGATTAAGAAGGGTTTGTATAGATGGTGATGGTGTGGTTGGATTAAATATTAAGAGTACAACATATCTTAAAGTCGAATATTGTAAAAAAGTATGAAGAGAAAGGGAAGCTGTAAAATATCTAAATTTCCAAGGACATTACTATTATTTGAAACATAAAGAAACTGGAGTAAAAAAAATGTAACACATGACAGGTTTAATTAAAGTTCTAAAAAAAACTCATAAATTGAAACTATTATATTTGCGCGATATATACCAATTGGGACATTTGATGGAGCCCGTTACGAGTTGAAAAACATTTTATCCCATTAATAAAATCTAAGCTTAGGAATAGCAATGGGTCAAATCGAGTTCGAATATTGTGATTATGCAACTATGGAAATAGAAGAGATAAACTATGAGAGAGAGTGTGTGTGAATGTGTTGTACGCCATGCAAAGATGAGTAAACAACCAATAGTGAGAGACAGAGAGAGATAGAACATACACAATTTGTCCCTCTCTCTCTCTCTCACACACACACACATACTCTATCTGTCTCTCTCTTTCATACACAAACAAATGTATACCTTTTTTGGTCAACAGTTACAATTGCAATACTAACACCTAGGGAGCTATACAAATCCTTTGGCACGTATTACATAAAATGCAGGAGAAGAACTTCAGTTTCAGACTTCGAAGTGATTACAACGTCGAAGTAATAAAATCTTTAATGATGGTCCTCTTCTCGTCATTGTAGTGAAGAAAAAATGCCAGCCCATCAACTCCACCCAAAACAGTACCATGCTGCAAAAGACAAACTAAGACTAAGTGAATCAAAATGGCAGGGAAAAAACAAACTAATAAAAAGATGTATGAATAGGAGAATTAAAAGAAAGCAAGAAAGTTCAGTCATAAAAGGTTTTCAAAGAAAAGAGCAAGTTAATTAGCATACCACAATATAAGGTCTCCAAGAATGAGAGGTCGTGGTTTTTGGAGGCAATAAAGGACGAGAGTTTGCCTATTTGCTGATTGCAAACATTTGCCCGAGTGGAAACTCTTACAAGGAATAAACCTACAGCAGTATAAAAAGAAACAATATCATTAGCTTTAATATGCCAAGAAGGAGGTTCAGGGCTGTGTCTTTGTGTGTGTGTGTGTGTGCATGAGAGAGAGAGATCCCAGGAAGGAAAAGAAGATTTGCAAGCTTAGATGAGGATTTATGTTTTACAACTTCATTCTGCCACAACATTTTGTCTCATTTGAAAAACTCTAACAAACATCCTCAAGATTAGACTATTTCACTTTTCTTGGACATACTGAGCCCCAACTATATAAACAAAAGTCAATTCACCTCAATTTGAATATGTGCATGAACATGCATCAACAAATTGACAAGCCATAAATGTCAGCAGCAAGATTGTACGGTGAAAAAATAGTCATGTACATTAAAAAAAATGCATAGGTTCCTCATTAAACCCAAAAGCCTCAAGTCCGAGTCTTAAAACATTCAAGCTTTATATATTGATGAAAGTTTGTGTGTACTAAATCACGAGAACAGAAATAATGGTGAATCAGAGGCACATCTCTACCCAGAGAGTTGCATTTTCTTTTCAATATCCTGCAGAAGTCTCCTAGAGTAGTTCAACATGCTTTGAAATGTTCTGATTGAACCATAAGAAACTCGCTCATCCAGGTCATGCAAAACTTTAGTAAAATTACTGGCAAAATGAAATTTCTGATGTTATCTCAGAAAAACCAAGTTGGTCTCTGCCTCCACAAAGAACCTTCATCAGTAACTTAAACAGGAAATGGCAGTTTCTAACCATCCATCTGACATCCTTCAGCACGATAGTTTTTATAGCTGACAACCTGACCAGTAATAGAATACTCCATTTCTTATTCAAGTCCACTAACACTAAATTCATCATCAGTTTATTTCTACATATCTTGATGAGAATCCACCTCCGCTGTGATATATCACCAGAGAGATAATGATTGAAAAAAAATCACTGCCAAAATGCCTAACATGATAAGTACTGGATATCCTCCTTAAACACATTCATTATCATTGAAATGAAATATGCTTTCATATCTCTCAATCGTATCGCACAGATAATAAAACTTTGATATCTATAATCTATACAGAGAAAATAAGAGTAATGAATATTTTTACATAATCGATTGCAGATCTCTTATGTCGATTCGATCAACTAATATGGTAAACGTTTAAGGATTGGCAGAACAATGAAGTCATGCAAAATAATCACATTGCCCAACAAGTAATGTAGAATACTGCCTTGGAATCTCATAGTCTTCTATTTTGTACGTTCTAAGCCTCCATTATTTCAGATTTACCATTTCGCATTTTCAACCGCTCAAGCTAAGAAAAATTGACTAAAAATCTATATGAGCCCATTTCCAACGAGACTTTGCAAACTCCTCCTTGGCCATAAAGCATTAAGGAAATCTCAGAAAAACTTCAAAATTAAACTCAACCCAGAAGAAAACTAAAGAGTTGAATTGCAGAGTAATCAAACAAACAAACATAATCACCTGAAATAAATTACTAAACAAAGCTCACGTGCTTAAACATGAAAATAAACTATACCCACAAAAAAAAATCTATCAAAATATGCCAAAAAACAACATAGATATGTGACGTGTTATATGTTTTTAGAGTATTAAGGATTCTGCAGAGAGATTTCTTAAGGAGGAGAAGATGACCCTTGACATTGATATTGGCACTGATACTTCCCCCCCTCTTTTTCCTCTCAATTTTCTACTTTCTTTTACAAATTTGGCACATAGGTAAGTGGGGTTTTCTTTATTTTTGCAGTAAATTTTACCTGACCGCAAATAGAATGCAAGAATACAGAAAATAGGCTCACAAAAATTTGTAATATTTTTCACCAAAAACAATGTTCAGGTTGACCATTTAAAGGTAAAAAAAGGAAGGAGAAAATCGCATCTAACAGTAGAAAACCACAACAGACATGTGAAGATGAATCCTCCCAAATTTTATCAGAGGCATCAGAGGCATATGAGGCAACGACAAAATGTAATTACAACCTCCCACCCAAAAATTCAGCAGATAGCCCAACCCAAGCTAGAAATTTCTATCTTCAATCCTGTCAGCGACCCATTTACCAAACCGGTAATTAGGAAAAAAAAAAAAAGAAACTCTAAAAAGTATTGATTAGGCCAACTTCAGGTAGTTTACTGCAGCTGAATAACGAAATAGATTAGATGAAATGCCCGAATTGGCCGAAAAGACAATCCAAGATGTTTATCTTTCTTTATTGACAAAAAGAAACAACATTAGGATTGACCTGCCACAAGAAGTTCAAAAAAAAATGAAGATTTACCATTTGACATATATTTCATCTAAGCAAGTTAAAAAATCAACAACAGACTAATCGGACAAAAAAAAAAGAAAAAGCTTCATCGATTCCTCTTTCAAAGTCCTAATTGCTGCAACCACAACAACCACAAATTCATTCAGAACTGCTAAAGCCCAAAGCAAAATTAATAAATAAATCATAAACCCTTCAATCAAACCATCAAACTCTTAAACCCATCTCCAGAATGTCATCAGTATTCCCTCCAACCTCCAACATAGCTTGTGAAATCAAAACAGGACAAACATTTTATTTCCTCCACAAAATTGTGGCAACAAAAGGACATCAACAAAAGGAGTCTTATGCTAACAACAAAACAGCACTTAACTGAAACAAGAAGATGAATTGAAAAAAAAACACAGCAAAACCCTAGAATGTACTTACAACCCCCCGCCAAAAGTAAATTAAGCTGGGACGAAAAGGAAATAAGAACTATGAAATGGAACCAAAATGAGCATTAACTGAAACTAAAGGGAGATTTTGTGGAAAAGTTACCTGGATTATGTTGATAACAGTTTCCTGTAGATTTTTTTTAAAGATGAAGAACAACAACATCCAAAAAATCACTCGATCTGAAAAGGGCAAGAAAAATACGGAACAACAACAACATAAAAAAATAATTTGATCAGAAAAGTAAATGGGATAAAATAAAAGATTTTCTAACCCAAAATCTATGCAAAGGTCAACCAAAAATCTCAAACTTTGAGCTAGAAATGATGCCCACAACACACTCCGGAAGATTTCAATACCGGCTTCTTCAATTGCCATCGCCAAACGAAGCTGCAAATTGACAAAAATAAGGAATCTGTAAATTGACAAAAAATAAGGAAGTTGCAAATTGACAAAAAAAAAAATAAAGAAGCTAAGAGAGGAGGCTCACCACTGCTGAAGATTTTGGTCGTATAATTTTGGTGAGAAAAGTGACGGAGAGGAGAAGCGGCGGAGAAGCATTTGTTGTTCTCTTTATCTAACCCTAAAGTAAATAGATAAGATGGAAGTAGAGGATATGTCTGGGTAAGCGAAAGAGCAACATTGCCCAAAAAAAGGAGAGAGAAAAGACACAGCCATGGTGAATCACGCCAATTACCATGAGAAAGCTCTGCTGTCAGCTCTGAACAATGCAGCTGTGAGAGCCGGAAATGGAAAGGAACTGGTACGGCAATTAATTCCAAAGCAGAAAACCCATGGGCAACCCAATTACCCCATGCATTCAAACGGAGCATCTGGAAGCACAAACTTACACAGCTCACGTGCGCGGCACATGACGACGACGAAACCCATTGGTGCGTTGTATGTTATGTTGATAAGCCCTATCTGTGTACATTTTAAGCTTCAACAAAATGAATTAAATAAAAGTGAGATAAAATAAGCCCAAAACTAAATTAATATTTTATATACTGATAGTGTATATACTTTCATCATTGGATGCAGGACATATAATCCAAATTTGAATTTGAAACTCAAATTTTGCATATATATCGTGCATCCAACCTTGATAATATATACACTGTCAATGTATATAAGATTTTTTCAAACTCAAATTCCATACTTTTAAGCAAGTTACAAGCGCACATTACCCGTAATAACCCACTAATATTACCCACATACACACTAATATAATAACCACACTTTACGCACAATAACGTAATACTAGTCACTAAAATGCAATAGATAACCCAACCCAACCCAACCCCAACCAAGCCATCAAATACACAGATCTAACAAAGTAATTGATTAAAACTAGTTTTATAACCTATGCTATGCACGAAAATTATAAATTTAAAAAATAATTAAAATTTAAAATAAAGATATAATAGTTAATAAGAGAATTCTCTAAAATTCTTACAATGAAATGCAATTCAAACTAAGAGTGCATGGAATTTTTGTACAACTATATAAATATTAATTCTTATCTAAATTTGTAATTAAGTTTAAAGATGTAGGCATATTTTTCTCTAGCATTTAATTTTCAACATATCTTTCAACAATTGTAGCTATGACTCTTTTCAGAATATTCAAGAATATCAAGAATATTTAAAATATTAAATTAGACAATTTTTTAATTCATTGGAAAATAAAAAGTCAAGAATCACATGAATATTTGAAATATTAAATTAGATTATTTTATTATTCACAATATGAGAATCTACATATTTCAATATCGGAAGATTTGAACCCAAGAACTCTAAACACTAAGGTGGCATTTGGTTCGCACATCGGAATCAGATTCGGATTCGAAATCAGATATTCTGGGTTTGGAATGAGGTCATTCATTCCAATACATTTGTTTGATTTAAGTATCTGGAATGTGTATCATTATTATAGTTGATATTTGGTTCGTCAACTCTTTCGGAATGGAATATAATAAAGGGATAATTGCAGAAACCTCCCTTGAGGTTTCTGACATTTGCACTGACCTCCCCTATGGTTTGAAAAATTACACTGACCTCCCCTGAGATTACTAATCCTTTGCAAATTCAGTCCAAACGATTAAAATATTGTTTTAGAGAGTGAAAGTATAATTTTTTTTACTAAATTTGTCTATTGTACTACATGTCCAATGAGTGACAAAATACTACAAATCAATTAACAATTAATAAACTTTAAGGAGTATAATTTATAGGCAAATATGCATTACCTATTTAAAGTACCGGTTTTTTATGGGTATTTTACTTTCAAACATTTAATTTAATACAAATATTTACGCTCAAATACATATTTGTATTTACTTTCAAATATTTAATTTTTGTTAAATACAAAAACTACCAATCTCTCTTCCGTAAAAATATTAATATAACACCTTTCAATTTTAGTTACAAACATTTATGTATTTAACATAAATTAAATGATTCAAAATAAAATACCCATAAAGAGCCAATACTTTACTCATGTAATGGATGAAAACTATAAAGAATTAATACTTTATGGGTCATTTTTAAAAAAATATATTTAATTTATATTAAACAAATAACCTACCGATTTTCTTTTTGCAAGAATATTGCTGTAACACTTTTTGAATTTTACTAACAAATATTGATATATTTATCATAAATTAAATGTTTGAAAGTAAAATATACGCTCAAATATAGATTTGTATTTACTTTTAAATATTTAATTTTTGTTAAATACAAAACCTACCAATCTCTCTTCCGTAAAAATATTAATATAACACTTTTTTAATTTTAGTTACAAACATTTATGTCTTTAACATAAATTAAATTATTCAAAATAAAATGCACATAAAAAGCGAATACTTTACTCGTGTAATGGATGAAATCCATAAAAAATTAATACTTTATGGGCCATTTATTTTTTTAAAAAAATATTTTATTTCTATTAAATAAATAACCTATTGATTTCCTTTTTGCAAGAATATTACTATAACAAGTTTTGAATTTTACTTATAAATATTAATATATTTATCATAAATTAAATATTTGAAAGTAAAATACTCGTAAAGAACTGGTACTTTAAATAAGTAATGCGTGTTTGCCCATAAATTATACTCCTTAAAATTTATTAATTGTTAATTGATTTATAGTACTTTGTCATTCATTGGATATGTAGAACAAAGGGCAAATCTAGTTTGCTACTGCTAGTTTGAATATGGTTTGTGAAACTACTGCTAGTTTGCTACTGATCACTTTTGAGAATTGAATATGGTTTGTCTTTGTCTAATTTGAATACAGCTCTTGTCTTTGTCTAATTTGAATACAGCTCTTGTCTTTGTCTTTGTTTTTGGTTGGACGTACGGCAGATCTTATGAATTTGCATTCTTTAAATAGGGGCGGGTACCTTATGACCCGCCCCTATTTTTCGGGTATCCAAGGATCGGGTACCGAGGACAAGCGGAGCAAATTAAGGTCAAAAAAATAGTGACCCGACATATTAGGGTTGGGTCAGCCATTTGCCGTTCGGGCGGATACCCAACCCGTGCCCACCCTTATCTACACTTGCTGAAAAGTTTCATTTTCTGTTTGGTGTACGAAACAAATCCTTGTAGGCAGTTTACAGGTCTCTGGGTTCATCTTGGAACTTTGGCTATACATGCAGCAAATCTATCCTGTTCATGCTGGGATGATAAAATGGATGACCACAGGGCAAAGGAAATTACGCTCAGGGCTTCTGATCTGCTGCAGAAGATTAAGCCCACCACTACTGAAGCTGTGCAGATGTATATAGAAGTCATGAAATCTGTCACTTATTGCTTTGAATATGCTACTACCAAAAAATATCTCCGATTTCTCCTTCCTCTAAAAGTTCGAGTTGAACACCACGTCAACCTCCACGACGGGTTAAAATTCCTGGTAACTTTTGTGCTGAGTACACCTGAGAAATGTGCAAAGGATGTAGAACAGATCTCGTCAGTGATTAATCATGGAAACTGCATCTCTCAAATTCTCATGAAGGATTTGAAAATGAAGTTCCACTTTACCCGTTGCTTCAAAAGATTGAACTTCTCAAGCTGGAGGTTGTTTTGATGAAGCTAACAAGCAGCACCAAAGCCAAAGATTGTGATGGGGATACATTTGGTACCCTCCAAAAGGGGATGAGATTCTTGCAAATATTTTTCAAACATCCACCTTAAATCACAGAAAAGGTGACGAGGATCCTGACTTGTATTGAAACTGTCGCAGAGGAGATAGGAACTCTTACCGTCTTATTTCATACAGAGTAGATCGAAGAGGATATAGTTCAGGATGCAATCAGACTGCTTGTCAATATCAGTTTTTTGAAAGCTAAAGCATTTGTTATGGAACTCACTATGAACAGCAATGCCAGTTCGATGGAACTTGCCAGAGACCAAATTGAAAACCTTCATTAGGGTTTGGAATTCCTTAGAAACTTCCTCTCAATTCCACAACAGCAGGAACCTTCATCAAGGCCGTTCGGAAGTAGGCCAAGCAACAAAGTCCAGAGCTGGAAGATATTTGAGCAAACGTCACGGATATCAAGCGGATTACGCGATTGATTCAATTTTACTCAAGAATGGTGTTGTGTGGTATCATATGTTGTCCCTTTCCGATTTACTACACAATTTTAAACTCATCAAGGCAGAAGTTGAAGAGATCAAGGAAAAGGTGGAGGCAGAAGAGATCAAGGAAGAGAAGGCAGAGGTAGAGGAGATCAAGGACGAGGTAGAGTTAGGAGTGATTGCTACTCCAAAGATTGAAGAAGTTCTGCCTGTTCTCAATGATCAAGGAAAAGATATATTTGATAGACTCAGAAGTGAAGACTACTTTGGCCAGAACAGTCTATAACAATATTAAGAATCAATTTAACGTTAGTGCTCGATGTTTTGTTTCTAAACTATCCAGGAAAAGGGTGACGTTGTTTGCAATTTTAGGTGATATCATCGAGATTATGGATGAAATCCGTAAGAAGGATGATGAAGATTTGATGCTATCATTGCACCAAAATTTAAGTAGTTGCAAGTTCATTATTGTCCTGGATGATGTATGGGACAACCAAAGTGTGGAATGACTTAGAAGGAGCATTTCGAAACCACGGGGAAGGAAATAGAATCTTGCTCACCAGTCGCGACTTCAATGTGGCTTTGGAAGTTAAAGGTGATAGTGTTCCTATTCATCTTCCTCCGCTTTCTTTTGATGAGAGTTGGATGTTTTTTGAGAAGTTATTCGCTGAAAAATGCTCTGATGAGGAGTTGTTGCAAACTAGTAGGCTAATTGCAGAAAGTTGTAAAGGTCTACCTCTAGCACTTGTTGCAATAGCTAGTCTCCTAAAAAAAATCGAGATGAGAGTAGAGACTCTGATGGAAATTGCAAAAGATTTGAACTGGCATGTTCTTGAAGATAAAGAAAGCATGTGCAAATGCATCCTCGAGCGGGTCTACAATCATATATTAATTGATTTGAAACCATGTTTTCTTTACTTCGGGGCATTTGAACAGGGTAAAGAAGTTCCCGTTCAGAAATTGATTCTGTTGTGGATTGCAGAGGGGTTTATTATAAGAAAAGTTGATAAGAAGAGCTTATTGGAAGACGCTGTTAAGACTTGTTTGATGGATCTTATCGCTAAAAGCTTAGTAATGGCTGACAGGAAAGGATCAATGGGAAGAGTCAAAGCTTGCAGTGCATGATGGTTTCCACAAGTTTTGCCTGTTAAAAGTTGAAGAAGAAAACTTTTTGGAGTTCACATTCTGGTATGAGAAACAGTTTTCCTCTTCTCATTCTATTTCCTATGAGCAA